ATGATTATGGGCTAAGAATAAATACAAAGTCTTCTTGATGGACATATACTTTGTTATCGAGAATTAAACTCCAAGACATTTCCCCAGTGGCATGGACATGCTTTAACCATAAGACAGGAAGAGGGGTCAGTGATGGAGAGGGGCCTGACGATGATGGACGAGGGGCGACCAGGTTGGGGACAAAGGGCAGAAAGAGGAAAAAGGAGGTAGGACGTCCTGAGCAGCGGCTACATTCCTCCACGTCACATTCCTGTTCACATCTGGCTACAATACACACGCTGCCCTGGGCTGACAGCGCCGCCGCACAAAAACACACACACACCAGCTGGGACTACACGCTTTGTGGGGACTTTGACATGAAGGCAACCTAATTTAACCTTTTGAGACCATAATATTGATCTATGACGGTAAAGCTGGAGTACCATTACTGGTCGTTTCCATCATTAATCCATCCATCCATCCATCTTCTTCCCCTTAATCCATTTCTGGGTCGGGGGGGGGCTGGGGGTAGTCAGAGTTGCACCCAGTACACACGGCATTGGGTACATTTATGAAACAAGAATTAGTCTTGCTCAAGTAACGTTTTGTGAACAAATCAGACCACATTATGCCTTTATCTGATTGGAAAATACATACTGAGAGCTGATTGGCTGAGAGAGGGCAGGTATCTTTGTAAGCACTGAAAAAGCTGAGATAAAGATGAGACAGAGGCCAAAAATACATCATGCATCAGTATAGAATTAAGCTGTTTTGAGAACAAGGTGCTAGTTAGATGGTTGAAAGTTAGGTACCCCAGCTTTAGATATGCAGTAACTCCCTCCACAGACCATACTCCTCTTGTTTCATTGTTGATGAGCAATAGGTACTCCAACTTTAAAGGATTGACCTAGAAAGTCATCAGCATAATGACAAACATAAATCAATGTATTTATATAAAAAACAGGAAAAAAGTTCAATTTCAATGTACATTGATTAAAACTCTTTAAACACATCCACACCAACAAACAGACACATACATCATTCTAAAAGTAGCTCACAATAGTTTTTGGTCACTTAAACCGGCTGGGGCAACTTTGAGTTCATGTTCACTATAAACTACATGTATTTTGTTTACCCACAGTCAAAAAGTTAGGTTTAATAACTTGCTTTCAATGTAGTTCAAGGAGGTATGAGAATAAAAATTATTTCAGTCATCAACGTTTGCCAAATGTGAGTAAAAGTGTCAGTTTCTTTATTATCAGTAAAGCTCGTAACTTGGCTCCTAAATGACCGGATGCCCTTGAACGTCTCGATAGAATACAGTAGTCTCTGGTCAAATGGTGCACGCGAGTCTGCGATAGAAGTGTGTGTCTGTGTGTGTGTGTGTGGGACATGTGGTTTTTAGTGCTGTCCAAATCCTGTCTCCATGTAAACATATATGTGATAAAAACAGTCCCACACAGAACCAGGACCAGGTCTGGAGGAGCAGAGGACTGAAGGCTTGCCTGCGAGGACCCAGCATTTCCAGTTCTGAGAGACCAATGAAAGATCCCGTCACAACAACACGGTCTGAAGAGCGACATGTTGCCTCCGAGGAGTTGAGATAAGCGATCATAATAAAACCTGATGCCAAGAACTAAAGCCACTCAAACCTACATCTTTGTCAGGACTCATTTTCATTAAAAAGCCTGAGCTGCAGTAAGTAAACAGCAGACAGAACTAATAAACAGGACTGATACATGGAATAATACAAGGACATTTTGTGATAAATGTATTGTTTAATAGAGCTGCAGGATTTTGGTAAAATATCTGTTTGTATATAGTGACATTTGTTTTTGATTGTGTCGCAAAATTCCATAAACAGGTTTAGTGCTGTAGCTGTGGATCAATAATATACATAGTCCATGTTAAAGCCCAGACCGGGACCAATCCAGTACAAACTTATCCTATATAGTGTAAATATACTATAGTAGAACAATATATGTTGTAAATAATTCTACATTGAAAAAAATATAAGAAACTATTTAACAGGGTGCTTCAAAATTAAAATTCCAGACTTTTTAAAAACTGATATTTTTTTTCCCCAAGACCCTAAAACCGAAAATTCGAAAACACGCAACGACTCATTACTGTTGACCACTAGGCTAACTATGTGTCGATAGATTGATGTAGGCATTTTACTTAATTTCACAGCTTTGTCTTTTTTGTTTTTGCAAGGGACTTAATTGCGGCGGTTGTGATTTGCTAATTGCAAATTCTCTCATTTTAATCATTTACTGAGTGTTATTGAGTTGATAGTGATTATTTGTGCCAGGCCACCACTGAGCACCCGTACGACTCAAACCGTATTTTGTCTTCCAGAAATTCCACAGGTTTAAAACACAGGAAACCCCCGACTCCTCCATCTCTTATCAGACCCAACAGCAGCAGCAGAGGAGCTACGGTCGGCCGCCCCCAGGAATTACACCCCTCTCCCCCTCCGCTCCCCCCTTTTCAGTGACTCAGCACTGGTTCCCAAGCAGCGCCCGCCCCCGACGAAGGAAACCCGAGACCCGAGGGTAGAGCGAGCCGGAGGAAGGACCCATCCCCAGCCTGTGTGGTCCAGGCCCAGCGCAGGACGGAGACGCTGGGAGACAGGTGGACACACAGACACAGTGGCTCCGGACCAGGACAGGTGCACGGGGCATCGGTCAAAGAGGAAAACTCACATTATGAAGTAAAGCCAACACAATCCCAAACATATCCCCAGGGCAATAGTTGGAATAATGTAGGGCAGCAAAAAAGAGTCGCAATATTTGTGGTGACAATTGGCAAAGACTGTTATTTTTTTGATTACATTATTTTCTTAAAAGTATATAGAAGGATTTTCTACTTCTGGGTGGATCATCAAGACTATTGGTCCTCCCAATTGTCAATTATTCTGATACGTTCTCGTCAAATAAGACCAGAGAGTTTTGTTCAAAAAGTGGAGAGAGCAGTTCTTTCCTAAAATTTGGGATAATCCTCTTATATACTTTTAATAAAGAGAAAATTATCTAATTCAGTGGGGAATTACAAAATATACAATATAATTAGCTGTAATGCTTATGAACTAGCTGTAAATGCTTCATAAAAGCAGAGAATATATAGAGAGAGATAGATATTGATACATACTAACACCGGTAGTATGAATAATAGTATTTCTATGATTAAACATATATACTATTAGGTTACTATTATACTATCAGACTTATATCACTGCGCTGCCGAACGGAACGTATCAAGAGGTCCTTTGTTCCTTCAGCTGTCAGACTGTACAACGAACCTGGATGAGTCTTCTGCTGCTGGACACCTGCATTTCTCCTACAAGGGATCAATAAAGTATCTATCCATCTATCATTCATTCATCTATATACTATACTATATATAATTCTATCTATCTCTGTGTTTGTATCTCTAGAACAGGCTTAGAACAGTATTAGAAAGACAGGTCATTGCGAATGTCAAAAGCAGACTAATAAGAGCCTAAATAAGGTAGTATTTCTCTAACATGAGTGCATTTTGACGGTTTTATCTGCGAATGGAAAAGGCAAGTCCAGTCGTATCCAAGTCAGTGTCAGGCAGTGAGAGTTTAAGTGAGTACATGCTTGTCATACGCTTTCAACAAGTGGAATTTAATACAGCAGTCCACTTTGAACAAATCATATTCAAAATAGAATCAAATTGCTGTGTTCGTATGAAAAATGCTCAAGAAAAATCACATGAAGTTGTTTAAAAGATAGTTTTTTAGTGAAATCAAGTTAGTTTGAGTGCGGCCCAGAATCATAACCATCTTGAAGAACTTAGCAATAGCAGAAAATCAAACAATAAAAACAGAGACAGATTAACCATTATTCACAATACTTATACTCCAGAATGGACAAACTTGATAAGTAAAAAAGAAATGACAAAATGTGAAAGTATTACCTTTTTAAAGGGTAAAATGTGGTTCTTGGGTGTCACCTAATGTATTGGGTTATTTAATGTATTGTTTTTTTTTTGCAGACTGTCCAGCACTTTCCAAAAACGACTTTACAAATAATATATACATTTTTTTATTTGATCAAGTTTGTAATTTTTGTATCGTGACAACATAATGATCTTGAACCTGAACCCAGTCGTTCAGAGGCATGTTTTAGCACATCTGGAGAAGGTCGCACCAGTAGCATTGGAATGAACGCAGGGACTAAAACCAGTGCCTTTTCCCTGCATTTATCAGTGACAGACAGGTGGCGCTATCAAAATATTTTAACTAAAAAACATCCCCTGAGGTTGGTTTTCCAGGCTTCTTCAAAATGTCTCTACACACTCTCACATATCCACTAGAGAAGCAGTGGAGGAGCAGTCGGCAGAGACCATTTGGACGTTTGTTAGCTCCGTTATTCAGGTCAAAACCAGAATTCACCTTCACCATGCCATTTTCTCTGCTTCACAGTCCCATAAGCAACACCCAGAATTCAACAAAAGAACATATTTAAGAGTAATAGCTTAAAAACTGGGGTGATTCACAAAACAATAAAAATATGGCAACCTTCTACAACGCCAGAGATAGCTAGCTAGATTGATGGGTAGCTAGCTAGTTAGATGGATAGTTACTTTATTGATCCCCTGTAGGAGAAATTCAAGTGTCAACATAGAAGCTGTTAATTGTTTTGGATCTGGAAAGTTTTACACTTTTGGGCCGATGGTGCAGACTGCTCCTCGGATGGTGCCTCCTCTGCAGATTTGACCTGCATTCAGCCTTGTGTTTGTATGTTTTGAATCCATTTTTATCCAAGTGTGTGGTTGTATGAGTATGTGGATGGTGGATACTGTTGTCTATGGGTTGTGCTGTATGATTGATTGATTGATTAGGAAGTAGACCTTGAACAAGCTTGATGCTATATTCCCAGATAACTCAAACAAGCACAAATCTACCCAAACGCAACTCTGGGTACCATTTGGAACAGGAAACCTCATTGAAAGCCAAAAGCCGCCGATCAGTGCATTCAGGGGTTACTCACTGTCGAAGTGGCTGTATCTCTGTCTGAACGTGGACTGTAGGTTGGTGCTGAGCTGAGAGACCGGAGCTTTGATTTCGGTGTTGCTCTGCTGGCTCAGTTTCTCCTCCATCTCCAGAGTGCAGCAGGAGTATCCCTGCGGACACACCTTCAGAGGGGCCCCTGTAACAAAACATCAAAAGAAGAGGTGTTCAAATGGGGGCCCTTACTGTCAATGACATCACAGAAAGTACTTTATTGTCATTTATGATAAATAAATAGTTGATCTATTTTGCCAATGGAACAAGGGAGACATTTCCTGAATTTTTTTATTTTTTTTATTCTATACTTGTTGCCCATAAAAAAGGCAAATTTGATGATTTCCAACCCAATCTTTTATCCACAGTCTTTTACACAATACTTGTAATATAGAAGCACAACCATTTTAATCTGAAATCTTTCTTACTCATGATTAGATAAGCAACCTCTCCGTCAGATAACGGAAAATATGAATAACCAGGAAAGTATAATAGGCCGACTCCTTAAAATTTCGGCCCAGACATGAAAATATGAACCGCATAACTGGCCACGTCTCGCAGTGAAATAAGGCCAAAAATCTTTCTAAAAATGGCAGCAGACGCAGGAGACGTGGGGCACAGCTTCAGTCTGAGAGCTGTGGGGAAAAAGCACCTCTTTATTTATCCACACAAGAGCAGGGCGGCTGTGATTAAGTTGTCAAACCCTTAATACAGTCATGTCTCGTCTGCCACACTGAGGAGCGTACAAAAAGACCATATGCGGCTTGTTTCGTAATCTGTTAAAACGACAACTGTGATTCGATCTGCGATAATGACTGACTGTAAGACACCAGGGGAACGTTTTTGAACATATAAAATCTCAATCACAATCAAAAACAATTGGATTAAAGTTCCAGGACTTTTGTGAATGGCCGGAATGAGTTGAACCAGCATCTTAAAGGTGATGTCTACTAGAGCCCTGTACTTGAGCCCTTGGCCCGAGGGCCCCGACGGCCCGACAGCCCGAGGGCCGGGCTTCGGGCCGATGACCGCATAATGACCTCGGACACGGGCCGGGCTCGGGCTCTTCATTTTCAGAGCGGCAGAATACATTTACGAACGCACCCACTGAATATAGCGTTCTATCACGCTGTAGTGTTTGTTGTTCTGTGTAGTGTTGTCATTGACGGCACATAGCATTACTTATGTAATGTGCAGATGTGTTGCAGCATCGGGGGCATCATACAGATGCGGCCGTTCACTCTGCACCACTCCGCACACACAGAACTCATTGCAACACATCACTACCATGTATAACTCCGCCCTCTAGCTAAGTCTGCGTTCATATCAGTGCGCGGCACTATATACTACGCTAAAACATTGTTATGGGAGGTTACAAAAAAAAAAAAAAAAGGCGGGCTTGATGCGGGTTTCGGGCCTGAAAATTCAGAAACCATATCGGGCCGGGCCGGGCTGGGGCGCCACCCCCTCGGGCCAGGGCCGGGCTCGGGCCCAGATAATAGGCCCGTGCAGGGCTCTAATGTCTACCACTTCGATAGTATTTCATTTGTAAAAAGAAAAGCACACATATTTTAGACCATATGACCTTGTAGTATCACGTAAAGTATATTTCACAATTAATATATTTAACACAGCCCTTCTCCCTGGTAGAACCATCACCAATGAGATTTGCTGGAGGAGAATAGCTCGACCAATGGCAAGAGGCCTCGTCTGTTTATCAAGGATTTAAATTAATTTGTCCAATCAGGAAGCAGTGGGGGGCAAGAAGGGGCAGATCTATACCAGTTCGCTTTGGGGGAAAAAAATCTATTTGCAATTCAAAAAGTAATAATCAATTTAATGGAACAGTCATCGCAACAAAGTGCTGATATAGCAGATCACAAAAGCGAGAAGCATTTTTATATGTTTTTGCAAATTAAAACTAACACTTTGAAATCATTTTAAAGCGCCCCCTGTAGCTAGGAGTCAGCGTACCCCTCGGTTGGGAAACACAGTAATACACTCATGAATAGGTGTGGGAATTTATATGATTTTAATCTTCCTCCCACTACTTTTTGAGTTTGAATGACGTACAATATTGCAATGGGTAACTGTAAATGAATTAATTGCTGGAAAGTTCTATGCAGTGATTTTTAATAATTAATGTTTGATGTAAATAAACTCAACACTAAACTCAACAGTTGCCAGATTAATTATTCAATTCAATTTATTTGTGCATAGCCCTAAAATCACAACAGTAGCTATCGGAGGACGTTACAAAGCTGTCGATTCACCAACAGCAGATTAGAGAATCAAACAGTTCAACCACAGGAAATGCAACGACCACAAGGGGCAGATGACCAATGTCCATAAATGTGAATAGACGTCAATTATCAAAATAAATAATCATTGATCACAGCTTTAACTCAAACCAACTTCATTCAGACTTGGTGTCCAGTATGTCTACACGTGTATGTGAGGGGGAGGTGGGGGGTAGGAAGGCCTTGGTCATTGAACCTGCCTCCTCCTGCCTGTGGGCCTGGGTGCCCCTGGGTGTAACTGCAGGTAAGAGCGGCCTCAGCTGAAAAACTTGTGGAAAACCAAACAGAGCCGTGAAAGCTCCTCTGTTCCTCTGCTCCGAGCCCAAACATTTTCACAGCTGTGGCCTTAGCTTCTGCTGCTGCTGACGCTATTAGCCCCAGAGACCGGAGTGTTTTTTAATTAAAGATATCAGCTTTGATTAGGGAGGGCGATGAGACGTGGGCTTGTCTGAAGTCAGGTAAGTGTAGTCGTCCGTGCTTCAGGTTTCACTCAGCAACAGGGGCAAGGTTCTCACGCAAGAGTCTGGGTGGAAAAGACTGACATTCCTCCACATACAGAGCAGTCTCAACTCCTGAAGATTCAATCGAGAGTCCAGATTCAACTCAAATCAACAATAAAGAGTTTTTCTAATTTAAAGTTGGGGTAGCTACAAACCACAGAAAACTAAAATTAGCCACGTCAAATCCATCTAACTAGTTCCCGGATCCATCACATCTTTAGATCCGTTTTTCCAGTCAAAAATTTGGGAAAAAAAGGACAATTTCCAAACAATCAGCCAATCAGCTCTCAACGCCCAAATCGTCAAATAGCGACTCACAAGTCTTTTTCTTACAAGTATACAAGATTATAGAGACTAATAAACTGTACAATAATAATAATAATATTGCATTGGATTTATCGCACCTTTTGGACACACTTTTCCTGAAGTGCCGTGCCCCGGGACAAACCACTCTTCCCTTATCTCTTATGGATTTTCCTACTTTCTTATCGCATTTGGGATTACCTCAACGTTCTGATCACCACTCGCAGCAGCAGCAGCGCAACCATCTCTCTAAAAACCTGTCAAGAGTTGTTTTCATTCTTCGTCCTCGTCGTAATAATAAACGCCCGTCCACTTTCATTACGCCGTGTGTTTGGATGATAAAGCCGGGCCATGTTTGAGGTGTTATCTCAGATGCTTCGACCGGTGTTTATAAATGAAGAGCTGTTTTCAAAGCTTGAGTAGGCTCTGGTGTTCTGGCACCGCGTCCAGAACATCACTTTTCCCACTGTTGCCATTTATAGAAGAAGAGAGACCAAGACACAGGCTTTTAATTCAGGACAATGATGAACCGTGTTTTACTGTCTCGTTATGTTATTATTACAGTAATAAACAAGCATTTTTCCACCGCTTTGCACATATCCAAAAATCCAATACCTGCCGCCTGACGTCACCGGAGCTGCAGTTTATTATCCTGTTTATGGAAACTCTGGGGTTGTTTTTTTGTCCCATTTTAAAACTTCATAACTTGCCTTTTCGATGCCTGAACGAGGGCAGTCTGTAGGGGTCTGCAAACGCACACTCTCCTTCATACAAGCCCCTTATGTCTGCCATATAAAGTGGAGCCTTATCCTTCAGAAAGTCCTTAGAACTGGGCGGTCCCTCGCACAGGCCGCTGCAGAACACACCGAGCCGGAGCCAAATACTTTCACACATCACTTTGCAACACACGCGTCTTTGTGGCACTTCTCAAGCAGCTTCAGTCCACAAAACACTTCTTGCTTTTAGATGGAATGGTTTAAACACATAGGGGCCAATCAAAACGCGTCTACGTCCACGTGGAAAATAGGCCGGGTTACCAAAGTACACAAATAAAAGTGAGATGGTCAGTATTTGGGAGGAATGCAGTAGAGACGGAGGGACAAGCGTTACATTGTTGGCGCGGAGGATTAGGGCCGTGTAAAACCAAGAGTGAGTAAAAGCAGCAGGGCCAGGGGGCGTTTGGAAAGGTAACATTTCAAAGTGAGGAAAGTTAAAAGATGGGAGAACTTTTTACAATTGGCCAAGTCATAAAAGAGACGGTAGTTTGGAGATGTTGCTCGACAGGGGCACAAGTGTTGTTGGAAGGAGATGGAAATGTTAATCTCCTGAACAATTTTTCTTTTCATTGAAGAAGATGGAAGCTTGATTTGACTGAGATTTGCCTTTGAAAAACATTTTGTAGTCGAGAAAGAAAAAGACAAGAAGATTTTTACTTAAACCAAAGATAAAACTTAAAACTTCAGTGTTTGAAATTGGAGATGCACCAATAAAAAAACTGGTGTTGTAGATTGGACCCGATATTGGAAAACGTTAAGTTTGCTAAAGTCTCATTCAAACAGAAATTCAGAATATATACTTTTTTCACTAAGAACTCCAGGAAGAGGCGTTTCCTTCAATGCACTGCTTTTTCCTTTATAAAGTTGTCCTCTTTAAATAGATATGTATGAAAATATTTATATTTCAGACATGACAAAGAAAGTTTGGCTGTCTATAAGCCTTTTTCATGCAAAATTGACATTCTTCTTACATCTACGCTCTTTTCAATTTTTTCTGACTTTTACAAACTCAAAATTATAAATGTAAAAAACCAGAATAAACACAAATTATGAGAAGTTATAGAATAAAACTCATCTTGTTTATGTCCCTCTAAGGCAGGGGTGTCAAATACATCAGATGTCAAAAAAACTAATTTTCTACAAGCCGAGGGCTGGACTAGTTCAATGTTTATTAAAACATGTTAAAATGATTGCACAGCAGAACCAAGACCTAACACAGTGAACATCATCTCAAGCTCACAGACAAAAACACACTTCCTTCAAAGA